AGGTTGAACACAGTGTCACTTGTCACTATTCCAAACTGTTCAAGAATCAGGATGTTTCCTAGGGCTACCATGAAAAATTCCACAACTGGCGGCTTACTTAAAACAGAGTTTGTTCTCTCACAGTTCCGTAGGGTAGAAGTCCAAAATCAAAGTGTAGGCAGTGTCATACTTTCTCTGAAGGTTCCGAGGGAAGAATTCTTCCTTGTCTCTTGTAGCTTCTGATGGTCCCAAGTTTCTTGGCTTATGGCAACATAACTCGAATCTCTGCCTACATCTTCACGTGGCTATCTTCCCTCTCTGTGTCCCTTTTTATAAGGCCTACCCTACTCCAGTATGACCTCATGTTAACAAATTACGTCTACAAATCCTATTTCCTAATAAGGTCACACTCACAGGTACCAGGGTTAGGACTTCAACATATCTTTTTTGGGGACACCGAGCCTGCAACACAGGATATTTCCAGGTAGCTGAGGACAAATGCCTGGCTTTGGGTTATTTGGGATGTTACTGTCAGTTTCCTCCCAGAGTCATCATTACTACCTGAGCGTTTGAAATGAGTTTGGAGTTATCTGTCTTATGTCAAGATGCTGATTAATGACTGACCAAGCAAGATTGGTGGCTCCCTGCTTTTTGACCACAGGAGAATAGGCCTTCTAGCTGGCTAAGTGCAGTCTGAAGCTGATGACCCCAAACCATAAATTGTTAGAAGTGGAAGGGCCCTAGTATCATTTAGCTAGTCCTCTCATTTGGTAGATCCAAATGGGTGAAGGGATCCTTTTGAGGTCCCAAAGCTATCCAGTAGCAGATCTGAGATTAGACCTTCTTGGTGTCCTGACTAATTTCAAGGTCCATGTGTATTAGGCTAACGATTCTTAGACTTTTTGAACTACTCATTAGATTTGCGTTTTTCAAAGAGCATTGGATAGGAGACTTGTGCTCTTACCTGGCCATATGACCCTGTCTCATTGAACTTAGGAAGCCATTGATAAAATGGAGATAACATGTTCTTTACTTGCTTCACAGGGTTGTCTTCTACCATCCCAGGCACAAACTATTTGCATGTATGTTTATCTTTTTCTCCTTTCCCCTTTCTAAGGAAGATGTGACTCCTTTAGGCTAAGGCTAATATTTCCATTTGTGCATTGCATTCCAGCTCTTCTTTCTCTCCGCTCTCATGAAACTTGCTCAACTGTCAACTTTCTTGATTCACCCCATTTCTTTTTTGTAACAGCTATGCTTTTTCTCTCCCCTGGGTCTTTCTAGAGTTCCCTCTTCATGAACCACTTTTCCTTTCCTTCTTGCTCATCTGTTAGTACCCCCTCAGGTTTTGACTACCCAAGATAACTAACTTCCTTTTTTCTTGGTGCCCTCCTGAGCTCTGGATAATAAACTTCTGGAGGCTAGAAATGGCTTTTATTCAGTTTTATTTGTATCTGGAATATAGTATACAATGTTTGAATAAGTAACGACTTAGTAGGTGTAATATATGTGGAAGCCTTCTCAAAAATATTCTGTGTGTATATGTATGTATATTTTTATGTTTATGTTTATCTAAATACATGAATTAAGATTGTTTCTACACCTGTTGTTGAATATTTGTCTTCAGGAGGGATATCCTTAAGCCCAGCTTGACTCTCTGCAGGTGAGGATTAAGACTGATTCTGATCCTGTCGAGCTTCCTTGGGGAGTGAAAATGAACCACAGTACAAGGTTTAAAGCTCTGGCAGGGGAAGACAATTTTGATAGGTAGAAATAGGGTAATAATAATAGAAAGACTGGGGAGGAGACAGAGCTAGCTTCTGTGAGAAGTTAAACAACTGATTTAATAGAGACCAGTTGTAGAAATGGAAATAATCTGAGTTTTGGTTCATTCCATAAACAGCCAAGTTTAAATGCCACATTTTCTTTTCTCCATGTACTCTAGTTCTGATTTGGAGCATATTAATCCCATGACTGTCCTTTGAAAACACTGTCCTAGCTATTTAATTGTTCTCTGTTATCTTTTTATCTTTGGAGACTGGAAGCTGGGGGACAAGATGTTCTTTATGCTAATATCCCTAACATAATCTCTGGGCCCAGAGATTTCTGTGATTTGAACTTATCTCTAAAATGGTTTAGTTTAGACTCTAGAGCAGTGCTTCTCAAATTTAAATGTGCACACAGGTCAGCTGGGGATCTTGTTAAAATGCAGATTCAGATCCAGTAGGTTTGGGGCTGGACCCAAGATTCTGTGTTTCTAACAGGCTCTCAGGTGATGCCGATGCTGCTGGTTCACAGACCACACTTGGAGTAGCAAAACTTTAGCATTAGAAATGGGAGGTCTTCCAGAGTTAACTCTGCTGTACCTTGGCCCGGATTCATGATTACTTTGCTTAGCAGAAGGCCTGAAGCCAAAGCTCTGGCTCCAAGAGAGAAGAAAACACTGAGAAACACTTCTGCCATATCCTAAATACCTAAATAGTTCATCTAACCTTGAGAAGGCCAGAGTGGACGACTGATTTATAACCTAATAGAATAACTGATATCCATGAAGATGACTTGGAATTCTGTTCAGTGAACTAAGAAGGTAGGCAAGGAAGTATTCACTGAAGTTTAAACATATTTTCATCAAAATGCTTAAAAACAGTGATGCTTAAATAGATAAGAAAATCTTCATTCCTGAAAGATCCGTGTTATAATACTTTGCTAACTAGGCTTTTTGAGGTGGTATCTGCCCGTTTGACTGTGACATCTTTATCTAGACCACCAGCAGCATTTTAGGTTGTTCTTACAGTGAGGGGAAAGCAGGCCTGGCATCTTGACTCCTGTCTCCATCACTTATTGTTATTGAGATCTTGGGCAAGTTCTCAATTTCCCTGAGCCTGTTCTCTCATCTGTGAAATAGTCATAATACTATCTTCATCCCACAATTTTTTAGAAGAGAAATTGTGTGAAAGCTCTTTGCATACTCTCTCTCCACCATTATTACTTTTTCCACTGCTTTGATCTTCATGGGCAACTTCTGTCCCATTTGGAGACAGTCTACCTCTCAACATCCTCAGTGGCTTCTATTGACATGAGGGCTGTTGTGAGGTATTCACATCCCCGGAGAGAGATGGGAGCAGATACTTGCTGACTTATCTAAATAGACCAGAAAAGAGAAACTTGGCTTAGCTGAACTTCTTTTCACAAGGCAGAAACATTGGGGATCCCGTAACAACAAAAAAAACCAAACCCATTGCCCTCGAGTCAATTCTGACTCATAGTGACCCATCAGGTCAGAGTAGAACTGCTCCATAGGGTTTCCAAAGCTGTAATCTTTATGGAACCGGCCTGCCACATCTTTATCCCGGAGCTGCTGGTGGGTTCAAACCACTGAAGCCAAATGCTTAACCACTGTGCCACCAGAGCTCCAAGGGACTCCCATAGTTTGCCTGTATACACATATTTTTAAGAAATAGGCTCACCACACACCGTATTTATGTGGGGTGGGAGTAAGTTGATAGTGATAATCCCTGGGTTTCTTCCCTAATGAATGTCCTAAGTTCAGATTCATGTGTGTTGTGTAGGCTTCTCTAGCCCAGGTGGTGGTAAAGTCTGAGTCCTCTAAATTTAGTAAGAGTGTGGCTGAAATACAGCTCCTTTGACCTGTATATAACCTTTGAATTGCACTGGCCTTTGTCTGGAGAGCTGTGATTTGTCTTTGGTTAAATCAGCCAGACCCGATGAAATACTTGGCTTTCCTGCACTCTTCCCTTCCAGCTCTACCTGCCTGACTCTTTGCATTCTTATCCTTAAAAAGGGGACAACTTGGAAATGAAGACTCAGGTGCTGCTCTGTGCGCTTCCTGAGGTTTTGTTTATTGGCTGCTCCGATTCCATATCCTGCTGTTCTCTGCCCAGATGTTACCAAAACAGTCTTTGAAGACTGATTTCATTAAAGACTCAGCTTTGACTTCCCAGAACTGGACTGCCTGCTATTCTCATTGGCATTACAGTGTTTACTAATCAGGTCTTAAATCCTCACCACCTCATTCTGTAAGCTCTGTAAATAACTTCTATCAGCCTACTGGAGCCCAGGTGGCAGTGGTTAAGAGCTCGGCCTAACCAGAAAGGCCAGCAGTTCTAATCCACCAGCTGCTCTTTGGAAACGGTATGGGGCAGTTCTATTGTGTGCTGTAGGGTTGCTGTGAGTTGGAATCAACTCAGTGGCAATGGGTTTGTTTTGGGTATCAACCTGTTGTATCATTTAAACTTTTTAGTCTCTACCTGAAACTACAGCTAACCAGTGACCTGATTTTGGGAATCCTGGGTTTCAAAGTTATTGTTTCTAATTTGCTGTATATTAATTTAGGCAAATAACCACGCCAGGCCTACATTTACCTTAACCTGTAAAACTGGGATTGGATTAGAAGTTTTAAAAACCATTCTTTGGAGTTGGTTGGAGGTGGGGATGGCGGGTGGCAAGAAAACTCAATGGGTAGGACCCCTGGCTCCCTACGCAATCAGGTTATTCTACTTATGTATTGGGCGTTTGCTATTAAATAGGTTGGAAAACTACTGGACTTGATGGTCTTTGAGATTGCTTTCAGCCTTGGCATTCTATGACCCCTTCTAGCAGATCTAAACTGTACTACACATAATACCTCCAAAATCCTCTCACTGCTCCACTTCATCATAGTTCCTGATACCTTCCACCAATGCTCTGGCGTGGCTCATCTCAGCTCCTTTGTCCTGTGCTCATACTTTCCTAGCAGCACATTATTTGTAAGCCTCCCTTCCTCATTCACATCTTACCTAATCTTCAAGACTCTAGTGTAAACGTCTTGTCCCTTCAAGAAACCTTCCCCAAGTTGCCCCCTGCCTTAGGACTCCGTATGCTTTTGCCTTGTCTGGCATTTTTGTGTGTAAAGCTCAAGATGTTGGTTTCTTCATTCTAAATCACCCCAATGCCTAGCATTGTACTGCTGTGAAAGTACATGGATGCAAGTTGTATGGCTCAAAAATTCTTTTTTCTTTCAGGATCGAATCATCCATTTAGTTGTTGGCAGCTTAACATCCTTATTGATTCTAGTAAGTATCTTTATTTTGTGCTTCCTCCAGACTCTCAGCCAAAGTTTTGAAAACTTCAGTATTGTGGATCAAGTAAGTAAAAACCAAAAACTTAAAACCAAACTTAAAAGGAGCCAGCAATAAGCATTCAAAGTGTTCTATAGTTAAATCAATGCTTCCATTTTTATTACCACTTAAAACTGCAGTAGGAGTAGCTAATTTAATCCTCACTTGCACCCTGCAAATAAAATAGCAAAAGTGAAACAACTTAGTTTTCAGATGACTGAGTTGGCCACATTCACTTGCCTAGTAATCTGTAAAAATGTGACAACCAGCAACTCCCTTCTGTTGCAATCCATCTCCTGCCTCCAGCCTTTCTCATTTCTGCTAATGTCTTAATTTTGTTCCTAAAGAACATTAATTATCCTTTGGCCAAGTTTTAAAAGGTTATGGTAAGCATATAGTAATTTTTCATCCTGGATAATACAAAATTAAAACAAAATTGTATTTTCTGTCACTGAGAATCACATTTCTGTGGCACATTTTCATTAAGAGAATGTTGATAAAGCTTGTTTCCATGTTTTTTTGATAAAAAGAATGAGTATAATCTATGGTAGAAATAGAGACTAGGATATTAAAAACCCATCTTACAGTATTTTTCATGTTACATAAGATCAGCTTTGGCTATATTGATTTTTAGTAGTATTCAAAGTAACAGAATAAGTAGAACTTTTTCCAGCATAATCATTAATCCTGGAGAGGAGGTAAATGATCTCTTTGTTAGTGAAGAGGTTATTTTGAGATTAGCCAGTTTGACTGCTATGATGTTTTGTCTCCTTTTATAAATGAAGCAAAGGGAGGAAGTACTAAAAGAAATAATTCAATCATTTTTACAAATAGTATTTTATTAACAATCTAAAAAGCAAACCTTGTGGTAGATACAATTTCACAGTTTGAAAGTATTTTATAGTATTACATTGCCTAGACTCCAGTCAAACCAAGTCTTGGAATTATTCTTAAGTCTTTACATAATTTCTCTTCACACAGGTAACGCTGATCAGTGCTTTTGTTTTCCCTCAACTACCTCCAAAACCGTTGAATATATTTTTTGCTGTCTGCATCTCTTTGAGTAGTATTACTGCCTGCATACTCGTGAGTACTATTTAATTGAATTTAAATATAGTATCCTTTAGGGCTTAAAATTGAACGTGCTTAGGGCAGATCCCCAGCCCTGGTCTACATAAAGGAAGTATCTCTACCTCCCCCTAAACCCATTACTGTGGAGTCATAGCAACCCTACAGGACACAGTAGAAGTGCCCTATAGGGTTTCCAAGGAACACTAGTGGATTCAAACTGCCAACCTTTTGGTTAAGAGCTGAGCTCTTAACTGCTGCACCACCAGGGCTGGTGTCAAAATTCTTAATCTGTATCATTTCCTTCTTTTCTCCCTAAAGTTGTAACCCTAAGGGGAAACTGTTTCCTTGATGGCTAAAAAAAAGTAGTTAAAAGACTTTAGATAACCAAAGATTTGACATAATTTAAATTCAGCCCTTTTCAAGGACTGTATATACAGGGCCCAACAGACCTTGAGAAATGCAGATATGCTCTTAGGAGAAGACAGAGCACTCTGGATGTACTTCTAATAATTATAAAATTAGTTTTAGTCTCTGTGCTCATCTCCCAAGATGGAGGTATTTAACACGAAATCCCCTAGGAAGCCTAAAGCTACAGTTGTATTCTGGTCTCAAGAATGTTCAATTTTACCACAGAGAGGCCCCTCATTTGTGATAAAGAATGATGGTGGAGTCTCAGTTGCGTATTTGCCAAGTGTTCATCCATTAAGTTGGCTGTTTCCTTTCCCTTGAGGTAGAATCAAAACAGTAAACCCTTAAAAACAGTTTTGATTTACAGATAAAATTAAACTAGGGAACATATCCATCTGTTCTAATTCACTGATCTGCTAAATTCCTATAACCGGAGGAAAAAGGTGGCCCATCCCACTTTGAGAACCTTTGGAACAAAGCTAGAGAACCTAGAGGCTCTCCTTTTCTCCTCCTACCCATAGCCTAAACTGACTAATAATGAGCAAATTTAAACCTATATGCATTATATAGGTCCTATTTTGTATTGGCAGTCTGAATTAATTATATGAATTTAAAAATTACCCTCCCTTCCAGTACCCAAAGAGTTGAAATATACCCAGAAGATATATATTCCTGGGGGTAATCTGTCCCTGCCATATGACTGGTGGACAGATATTGTACAGGTTTGAACACAGAACAAAAGTAAACTGAAAAACCAGGAGTAAGTATAATCTTGGATGTGGAAATTCAGTGGTACTATTTAAACGATAAAGAATAAAAATTAAATTCTGACCACATTAATCAAGAATGTAAAATAATAGTAAGACTATCTAATTTAGGGGAAACAAAAGTATACACAGTAGAATGGAAATGGAAAAAGAGTTGCATTTAAAATTTTAATACTTGGTTCAGTGGCTATTATATAAACTTTAATTCTTCTTCTTTTAGATCTACTGGTATCGGCAAGGAGACTTAGAACCGAAATTTAGAAATCTAATTTACTATATCTTATTTTCTATCATCATGTTATGTATATGTGCAAACTTGTACTTCCATGATGTGGGAAAGTGAGGCTGCCAAGGAGAAAAGGAGAAATACTTACCAGGACTCTTCAAAGCTGTGTATTAGGACTGTGAACAGAGCTGGATAAGGTATGCTGAAGAATCTCCTGAATCTCCTGTAGGAGCCTGATACATGATTTTCATGTTGATTGTAAACCTGAATTCCCTCTTGCAGGGGAGACATATCATAGATCACTCTGCTTTCATTCCAACTCTTGAAGATCAAACAGCACAAGTAATTTTCACTTTTGAAATTAAATTTTTTATAATGTAATTGCATGGCGCAAAGGCTATGTAACAAACAAAATCTTGCATTTTAAGACAAATATTCTTTTATTTCTGTTAAAACTGAATATACAATTATTGTTCCCTATGCAACCAACTTTTGCTTATAACTACAATTTAATTTCACATTAACAAAACACATGGTGAAAAGACAACTTTGATTGTGAAGATCTAATTACAATAATAAATAAAATAATTTATACAAGGTTTTTTGTGACTTTTCTATACAGGCTAGTTCTGGCTAAACCTTCTCTAGTATAGGAATGACTCTTGATTTGTTTCCTTTCATTACAGAAGCAAATTTTGTTCTGTTTTATTTTACACTGCTTGAGAAGGAGAAGTTATATATTGTATCCCACCAGCTAATGGACTGAATGAGTGGTAAACTCTAACCCTCCCCCCTCCCCAACTATTTTCTGGGTATATTCTGGGTATACAGCAAAATGTCTAATAAACAGTCATGGTATCAAAGGCAGGCAACATTACCACCTTCCTCATTTAGTTTAATTTTACTTCAAAGTGCTAACTTGGTAAAACTGATGACAGTGATTTCAGGGGGGAGGTAAAAGCTCTGCTTAGCTTCTGATGGGTTTTGTTACTACTCTCATCTATATTCCCTTTAAAAGTAATTTTAAAAAACCTGTAGTGACTTTTCTTAACCTTTGTTTAATGCTTTCCTCTTTACCCTGCCTAAATTAGCTCCCACTGCCAGCAATGGGTAAACCCAAAGTAACTGCCATACAGTCACCTCCTAGGTCTCTGTATGCTGGTCAAGTCTCAAACTACTGATACCTAATCTTTTTTAAGAAGGCCACTGATAAGCTCTAGACCATGTTAATGTGACTCCTCTGGAATATAACCAGGCCTGCTTGAGACTGGATAGAGTCATGTCTAATCTTTAATCTTTAGAGGTAACTACTCCTGCTTTTAAACCAGAGTAGTTAAGCTTTGGTGCTTTTAAACTTTTCCAGGAGCTGAAGCCAATGAAATTCCCCACTGACAAACAACACTAAACATACAGATCTATGCAGTTAAAATCCCCACGCTCTAAAACTATACAGTTATAAAACTGGGCTTCAGATGTTAAAGGAGGTAAAAAGTCATAGCAGCAACACTGTGCATGGTTTAAGCACTATAGATATTTAAAAGCCAGATGGATGGTAAATTAAGCCTCTTGTGGGTTGCTCCTATTTCTTTGGAAATGTTGCACTAAACAGTGTGGCTTCTTTAATTAAGCTACCCTGTTTTCTAAGAATCACCTAATGACAGTTTACCAAGTCTTCAACATCCTTTGAGTCTTCTGAAACAGGACTACACAAAGATGATCCAATGATATTTGACTCTTCTCGATGATGCTGGAGTATGGGATCTGTAGTAAGTTAAGGGACAAGTTAGTCTTAAATGTATGTCTTAAATGTATGTCTTAAATGTATGTATGCAATCTCTATGTCAAGAATTTAGATTAAGCACTCTTCTTCTTAAGTGTTGAATTTAACAAGACTAATATCTTCATTGTTGGATGAAGAAGGACTAAAACAACTGAATTAAATGTCTGACTACCTGGTTTTTCCCTTAAGATTTATCAGGCACACGATGGGGTTGTGTGCTACAGTACCTGTTAGTGTTGTCAAAGGCAAGACAGAATCTATAACATCAGATGCCTGGATAAAGCCATGTGGTGAAGGTACAATAAGTATTGTTTCATCATCAATTGTTGTTTGATCAACTTGTTCTTCTATGGTAGGAGACTCTAAATCCTAGATCGTATTAAAAAAAAAAAAAAAAAAAGATTCTGACTCAGATCCCAAGCCCTTCTAGGTTTGGTATGACTTGACTCTCAAACATTATCCTGTTTTTTAATTAGAATATAAAGAAATGAAAGGTTGTAAAAAATGGACAAAAGTAATCTTAACCTCCTAGTCTAATGTATCAAACATCAGCAAAAAGAAACTTTAAAAAAAACCAATTCAGTTATAGGTTACATAGGAGAAACATCGCTGCTACACTGTAGGGTGAAGTTCCCAAGCTGAATCACAAAGCCCTACATAGCTTGTTATTAACTACCCTCAGGAAAATGTTCTGATAAGCATTTCTCAATCTGTTGGAGGCAGAGAGGGAAAAGGCTTTAGCGAGGAACATGGTAAGATGGAACATGGTTTTCTTATTCCTCCTGCCACAAGATGTCTTTGCATTCCCACATCTGCTGGCATGACACTATTAGTTGCTTGATAACTTGTGAGGTCCGAGGTAGGGGTTGGCACTTTATTCTGTGGGTCTAAAGACAGATGGAAGGCTATCCCCCCTGAATTATTTCTAGGCTTCTTTCCCAACTGCAGATTTGAGGCTTGAGACAGGAACCCATTAGGGCATAAGTTCCCTTAAGTGCAACTTACCTCAGTACCATATGTACTGGCTAAATCAGAGGGTGATTCCTCCTCTTGTTTAAGGTCGGTGTCAGAGATCTCTTCTTCTGTTCTGACCATAACACTATTCATTAGTTCTGTGCTATTTTGGTCACTGAATTTGGATATATGAGCATCATTAAATGATGGCTCTACAGTCATTTTAGGCTGATGGATTTCGTCTGGGAAAGTGTCTGCTTCTAGGGCATCTGGAGGCTCAGGAAAGTCAGCTGACTGAATATCACTATCTACTGTCAGTTCTGCTTGGGATATGGAAGAAGTGATGTCCTCTGTGGCAACAGTCTGAATGATGACTCTTGGTGTGTGACACTGCACTGTGACATTGTCACTTGTGTTCAACAAATGTTCTGGCTATAAAACATTAAAGAAACTATCAACAGCAAAATAAAAATTACCTACTAGATTTAAGTTACAGCAACAAATGACATTTACAGGTGGTACTTCACTACCTCCCTCCCTCCCCTCACCTCTGAGTCTGCAATTATCACTATTTTTCTACAACCCCTGTCCTTTACCCACTGAGGTCCTTGCTCTCATGTCCCTATTCCTCAGTGTAAGTTCATTTCATATAAGGAGACACAAGGGATGAAGGATATACTCCAGTGAAGGCAGAAGTGATGGTGCAAAACTTTCTGGAACAGTGGTAGGAAGAATTGTTTAACTGGACAACCTTATAATTTTGGATCAACTAATCCTGGTCCCTAACAGGTACTCAAATACTTGAACTGCACTCAAAATGTATTTTTCTCCTACAGAGAATACTATTGAACGCACATAGGTTTTACAGTATTATAAATACTAGGGGGAAAAAAACCTTATCTCTAGTGACACTTAGAAGTTAGCCAATCTTCTACATAAACTAGGAAAACCAAGGAATTTATGTAATGCAACATACAGATAAAGCATGGACGATGATCTGTTCAGGAGAAGCAGGAGCAGCGGCTGTCAAGGTTACTGTGGGACTAGCTGTCAGAGTTAGGGGAAGGCCTTGGCTTGAGCCTGTCTGAAGTAGGTAGGTGCCTGGAGTGCCAGTGGGCTGTAAATGGAAAGACTAAAGGAGAAAAAAAAAAAAAGTTTAACACAACTTTACGCTCAAAAACCAAAACCAAAACCCATTGCTGTTGATTGGGTTCTGACTCATAGCAACCTCGTGTATTACACAGCAGAACTCCATAGGGTTTCATGGCTGTGATCTTTTGGAAGCAAATCGCCAGGCTTTTCTTTCGTAGCATCGCTGGGTGGGTTTAAACTGCCAACCTTTAGGTTAGTAGTCAAGCACAAACTGTTTGCACTACCCAGGGACCTTCCAAAAATGGACTGACTATAATTTACTGGCCACAATGTACTTAATCCTAAAGGTACAAGTAGGTAATAAAATGAATGGTATCAATGTTCTTTATTTTTTTATGTCATTAAGTCAATACTCAGCCTCATGGTTTAACTGAGACACAAGGCATTTATCCCATTCTTCATTCCTGAGTATTACCATGATCTGGTTTCAGCCCATCTGTTTTAGGGAACTGAGTTTCCAGTGCGGTAACCCAGCACACCCATCTTTCCCTCTCTATCCTTTCTCAGTAGCAATCTTCCAGTTAAAAAAAAACAGAAACAAAAAAACTTCACATTTCTGAAAAGGCACAATCAAGCAGTGTTTACTTACTTGAACAGATTTTTCATAAAAACAATTCCTCCTAAAATTATATTAAGGAAAAACATACAGAAACAGCAATGTTCAGCTGAAGGAAAAAGATTCTTATTCGAAAAGCCTACTTAACTGATAGTGTATGAACACTCCTACACAAGTTTTTGGCTGGACATACGCTTTCATTTCTCTTGGGTATATATATACCTGGGGTTGGAATTTCCTGAGACTGGAATTGCTGGGTCATATGGTAACTATGTTTAACCTTTTGAGGATCTGCTACACTGTCTTTCCAAAGTGGCTGCACCATTTAGGACTGGAACTTTTAAATTTTGTGTACCCAACGGCTAGCACAATATTTTACTGAACCAAATGTTGTTTAATAACTCGTAAGTTTGTACCCAAGGTTTTTCTCATGTAACCAATGTAAAATGCAAACCCTCCCCGCCACCCCCCGACAAAAAACTTTTGGTTATAAGTTTATTTATGACTCAACAAATCCATCTACACTATCATTTTTATATATAAAAAGAGCATATTATTAGTAGCCCTGACGACACAGTGGTTAAGCACTGGGATGCTAACTGAAAGGTAGGCAGTCTGAACCTGCCAGTGGCTCCATGGGAGAAAGATGTGGCAATCTGCTCCTGTAGAGATTACAGCCCTGGAAACCCTATAGGCAGTTCTATTCTGTCCTGTGGAGTCATTATGAGTTGCAACTGACGCAATGGCAAGATTTTTTTTTTTTTTTTTAGTACAGGTGAGGAGAAAGATTTCATTATAAAGGTTGAAGTCTGATTTATGTCTGATCAAACCATCTGGCTTCAAACTCATGGATGTAGCTGCTTATGTAATAGCATCCTAAAACCTATTCCAACTGATTTTTCTTATGCATAAAAATGACCAAAATCAACTTTCTGCAGTATTTATTACTCACTGGAAGAATCTCAAACGTCTGTAGTGTTCCACTGTTTAGTGTTATTGTTTCAGAGTCAACAGTAGCAGCAGGGGAGTCTGTTGAAGCTGTGGTAAAGACAACGACAACAAATAAACACTTTGCAAACTAAAATTTATCCAGTGTGCTCAATTAAACATAGATTTATCATGAAGGCAATCTCATCTTGAATAATTTGCCGGAAATCTGAAGTCATTTAAGCTTTTTAAGCTATAGAGTGATGAGAAAGCTAATGGATTTACCTAGGATGGCAGGGATTAGGAGTCTGCAAACTACAGCCCCACAAGCCAAATCTAGCACACTGCCTGTTTTTTTAAAATAAAGTATTATTGGAACACGGCCAACCCCATTCATTTATGTAGTTTGTATGGTTGCTTTCACACTACAATGGTGGAACTGAGTGGTTTTGACAGGGACCACATGGTCTACAAACCCTGAAATATTTAGTATCTGGCCCCTTACAGAAAAGATTTGCCAACCCCTGGTATAGTTTATAAAATGTTCTAACATTAGGAAGTCAACAGGAACACACTAAGACTAGCCTGCAAAGAGACAGGAACTTGGTAAACAAACTTTCCTGGACATCCTGGTAAACAATATAGATGTCGGGTTTGCAAGTATCAAAACACTAGGTTTTAGTTCTAGCTACATCACTTTCTAGCAGTGTAAACCTTGGCAGATAATTTAATCCAAGCTAAAGTTCAGAGATTTTACCTTTCCTGCCTACCTCCTTCATATAGTTGTTCTGAGGATCAAAAGCACTTTTCAAAACATTTACCAAAAACAAACAAACAAAAAAAACCCACTGCCGTCAAGTTCATTCTGACTCATAGCAATCCTATGGGACAGAGTAGAACTACCTCATAGGGTTCCCAAGCAGCGGCTGGTGGATTCTAACTGCCGACCTTTTGGTTAGCAGCTGAGCTCTTAACCTCTGTGCCACCAGGGCTCCCCATAAAGATTACATTTAGTACATATAGAATTATTTCAAAAAACCAATTTGGGAGACTGAATAGCACCTTAGAGATCAGATGGTATAATCTCTTTTTTATAAATGTGTCAACTGAGGCTTAGACTTGATCAGCATCTACTCAAAGTTATACTGAACTAAGATTAAAAGAAATCTGAATTCTTTTGGTGCTTTCAGTGGCACCTGTAGTAAACTCATGAAAAATGATTTCGAATGGACTTTTAATATGTAGTGTTTGTTGTTACTTATTATATTCTAACTACAGCACTTCTCAGTTATTTGAAAGGAATATGACACCCTTAGCAATAGAAATGCACTTGATTCATGTTATTTCTATTTGATGGATTCTTAAGACCTAACCCAGAATAATGTGATACGATTCCAGATAAATAACCTAAATCATGGATGAGTAAACTATGCAGGGGACAAATGTGGTCCAAGGCTAAGAATGTTTTTTTTCCTCCATTTTTAAAGGGTTGTAATAAAAGCAAAAACAAAAATAAATGATATTCTAGAAAGACCAATGTGGCCTGAAAAAGTCTGCTCATCCCTGACCCCTGACCTATAAGATACATTTAAGAGATTTTAGCCAGAATGCTAAGAATAATGGATCAGCTGTAAAACTCTTAACTCTATTCCCATTTCTTGATGGAAGAAATGAATTCTTCTATTTAAAAATTAAATGACTGATGCTGTGAATGACTATTAAGGTACCATTTATAAAATGTCTGCTATCTTCCCAACAGGGCTGTCTACCCAATAGCCAAGGAAAACTGTAACGTCCTCCAATGCACAATCAGTTCACAGCCAAGAGGAGTTCTCATATTTATTTGGACTAGCAATTTCAGTTGCTCTGCAATTCTCAGATGATAAAACAGAAACAAGCAGGGCCAAATAAAATAAATTCTTCATGCTTTATTACACTAGCAGAAAGACAAAGCAAATAACTGAACTCAAATCAGAACTTTGAGACTAAGATAGGCATGATTAAATTTCTCTAAGGTACTTTGACAGCCATTGCATATACAGATAAGTACTGTAAATTACACCAATAGGCGGCTCAGTGATTCTCAAACAGAGCCAATAGTAGCATGTCACAGGGTGCATCTGGAAATGTATGAGGGCCTTTCTGGTTGTCATGATGACTGGAGGGCACCACTGGGATTTTGTGGGCAAGGTCAAGCGACGCTGAACATTGGATAATGTGCAGGACAGTCCTGCAAACAAAGAACTCTACTGACCCAAATGCCAGTAATACCCCAACTGAGAGTAACACACAGTGATTGGTATATTCTTGTGCAACGACTTTTCCATAGGCAAATAGCAATATGTAGACAGAAAAAACATAAGTGAGATAAAGGTAAGTGAAGAATAACATGCATCTTAAAATTTCATTCTCTTATTCGTCTTCTAATACTATAATTAAGATTGACAGAAAGAAAGGTAGAAAGATCACCTTGGCTTACATATTACGAAAAAAAAATTCCTCTCCCTGTAACAATTGCTGGGTTCTCATAATCTCATTAAACACAAAAATGCCAAAGAGGCTAAGGAAAACACACGGGTAAGGTAAGGGGTAATAACAATTTCCCACAGGAAACTGGCCTTTTCTCCCTGAAGAAAATCGCTGTCAACCTCAACAAACCCATGTCCTCTACATTTATACTAGTTCACCAGAGTTCTGGTGAATTAGTATAAATGACCTGCCACTTTATGAACTCTATTTCCTTGATTAATGGACTATACTTTAGGTAGCTTCATATTAACCATTAATTCTTTACAAATCTAGAAAGTAAGACAGTTTATCATAGCTAGGCAGTTGGTTATGAGTTCCTTCCTATCACCCATCCTTTGGGCAAATATTGAGCTAAACGTAAGACACTGTAGATCTCCTTTAACTTCTCAACTTCAGTAAATTTTTATCAACACTGTAGAAGAAGAAAAAGTGCCAGAGTCGTCATCAAGACCACATAGGTTTTATATCAATAAACAGCAAGGAGCCTTGGGTTCAGACACTTACAAACATGAGTGATCTGGACTGGAATCTGCAGCGCTGTCATGGGGCTTGGAGAGAGAGCTGTATTTTCTTCCAAGCGGGCGACTCTGATCTGAACATGCTGTACACTGGAGTTGGAATTACTGTTTGGAATTCCAGATCCTGATTTATTCTCCAAAAGCGGTGGGTTGTTTTTTTGGTTCTCATGTAACTGTTTAAGACCTTTTATTAAGACTGAAGGGAGATGGGTAGACAAAAAGAACATTGATTCTCCGACAGACCACCATCTAAGCAGCAAGGGAGATGGGGCGGGGGGTAAGGAGGGAAAGTATTTGGAATAAATAATTATATACTAGATATACTATCTTATCAAAATAACAAAATAGTTTGAAACCACAGCTTACCCTGAAATTTTTGGGAGATGTTACCCAACACAACAAATTTAAAAATTTTAAGATGTTATTGTTCTTGCTGAGATTTATAATGCATGGAAAAAATAGACATTGTGAAGAACATGGAAATAAGACATTTTCTATGTCCTAAGCTTCTTGATAAAATTCTTATCATTTAAGAATACTGGCAACTCTAAGTAGCTTAATCAGCTGGCTGTGGGTCTCCTCACAACTCCAGAGATAGCAGATGATCTTTTCCAAATAGTAACATGCAACCACATCAAGTTCCTGCATAGAGAGGCTAACTCTAGACTTTGCCCTAGTCTACTATTCATGATAAGCTGCGCTATTCCTCTCAGTTGATGCTGCGATCTAGGTAGGTTCATGTCACATTAGTATTCATTCACTTTTCTGGTTCTAACATCATATTTATAAATTTATAAACCGAACGTTTTATTTTAAAACACCACATTTTCATTAAGGTAAAGTTCCTTGGTGCTTATTTTCCTTTGGAGTAATGGAACTGAGAGCATTATAATAAAGGGAATGAATTTGATAACCTAAATTAAACAGACTGTGCAACTTAGTTTAGTGCCTAGAAGTGCAAAACAGGTAATGAAGTGAAAGTATGCTATGCCTCACTGTAAGCAAATACAATGTAGAATCTCTGGACTTACAAAACAAGTAAGACTGGGAAGACACACAGTCTTTGTTCTACAAAATAAATCACCACAGAATTTCATTAAATAATAAACCCAGTTATTTTTCCACTCATAAAATGGATTTAAACATAAGTTTTCAAAAAATACACCTTTGTACAGAATAAGAATATGTATGTAAAATTAATTTCCTCTTCACAGTTTATGTGGGGGCATAAGAATGTGTGTAAATGTGTTTATTTCCATCTTAGGTGCTTTGGGAATTACAAATCACATCATCTCTTCTCTAGGGAACAAAAAGACAGTTACCCAAAGAAATAGGACAGAGCTTTAAGGGAAAAATCTACTTTGGTATCTCTTTAGCTGCGGTAAAGAACTTCCAACATCTAACTCCTGAGGAGTAAGTATGCTAAGAGAAGTGAAGGACTTAAAAAGCAGATAATACATTACCAGGGAACGAAACATCCTTATGGTTTGCAATCTGCCTTTTGATGGTCCACCATTTACTTCGAAGCCATTGTGGTGAACGGACACTGCTCCATCCCTCAGCTAGGAGATCCCAGTTTATGTCATTCTCATCAGCTACATCAAGCTCTGCTATCCTACAGGTTACAAAATATGCATCTGTTAGATGTTGATTTATTTCACCATAATAACCCTCCTCTGACTACAAATAATAGCACTGGCTATAAAGGGAACTGGCAGGTTATGCCAACAAGATGCTATTGTTAAGTTGCTTAGGAAAGGATTCCAGGAATGCAGACCTGCTTCCAGAGCTAAGAGTTAATAACACCAGCAACAGCCTTTTAAGATACAATCAATGGGCTGAACTGTAAATGGTTAGAATCAGGTGAAGCACTGTCAAGGAAAGGGAATAGAGCTGAAGGTTAGCATAGGATAAGAAGAGGTTTAATTGTAGAGTGTTCTGCAATGTTTCATAGTGTGGCCTTTACTGAGTCAGTTATTTCCGGGATGTGAGCTTTTCCATTTATAAAATGAACAAAAATATTTACAAATGAACTATTTATAAAGATGACTAGTTGAAACAACCTATGTTAAAAACAAAATTCAAACCAAAATGGTAACAACAATAAAAAAACCCAAAATACATTCCAGCAGCAACCAAAATAACCAATTCAGTAGCACAAGTAAATTTGGGGTTTTAGAAGTCTACCTGTTTTCTAGTTTTAACTGTCATGATGACTTTGATTTTCAGTAGGGAGTAGCCACAATGCCAGCTTCTATTCAGTGTCTTAAATAATTTCTTGCTGGTATTTTTGCCCATCTGAGTCACTGAGCTTTAATGGTTAAATCAACTGATTTGAAAAATAAGCTTGTGGTTATTATCTTAAAGCCATCTTTGGATTTATATGAAATGGAAGTATATGGTTTGGTCTAGTTGGAAAGGGTGGGGTAGCTAGACTGAGCCCCCTTCCTGGCAGTCTTAGCATAGTAGCCATGGATTGAAGGGCTTGGAGACTGAATAACCCTCTTACCCTAAACATGTTCCCCCTAGGCTAGGATTGAGGCACATTGGTGGGACAGTGGAAAAGCTGCACTGCCGCTGCCTGTGCCGTACCTGTTCTGTGGATATAGAGAGGACTTCAGTCTCCACGCCTTCAATCTGGTACTTTGCACGAGCACTAAATCCACTAAAAAGGAACAAACACAAAACAAAAAGAGCTCAATATGAAATACTTAGGATTGTAAACAATGTCTGTCTATGGAAAGGATGTTTTTCAGACATTAGGAATCTAGGGAGATCTAGAGGAAAGTCAATCAAGACATTCACAGCAATTAAGCAGCTTTTGTCGTTAAAAAATTTAAGACACAAACCTGACGATGAGATTGATTTCATCTTCCTTGGTCCACTCAGTACCCCCACTTTGTTTCCAGTTCAGGTAGTTGAGCCATTTAGAACGACACTGCTTTTCTGAGCGGGTACCCACTCGTTCAGCCACAGCTGCCCAAGACACACCTTGTGTGACTATGTCACCTGGCTCAGTGCTTGTCAATTCATGAACCACCTCTGCAAGTCTCTTTTCTTCCTCTTCTGTCCACTTCCCTGAAAGAAGGAAATCATCCAGACTACCAATGCTACCTTCTCCTTTTGCAAATCAAATTCAGCCCTACATTTCTAAGAACTGACAGAAGTATACAGTAGTACCAAGAGTTTATTTTTGAATGACCCTGTGGTGAGAAATGCAATGACAGTTGCATTTCACTAGCCTAGTAAGGCTCTTAGTACAAAAGAAAACATAAAACCCTAATAGAAAGCAATGACTGACTCTTTCAAGCAAAGAAAAATACCCAAAACATAACTGGAAAGAATTATGTACCTTTAAGTTACACAGAGTCCTTTATATATAAACAGCTAAGTGAGAGAAAGCTTTATTGATGGCTTGGAGGACACAGAAACTCATGCATTTTCCTTACACCTAAGACTCCCTGCTCTGCAGAAGTAGAGGGAGTCAAATAGATGTCACTATTTATAGGAATGCATAATAAAGGACAAGGTGGAGTAACACAGGCTCCCACCCATCTTAGGAAACACTAAGTTTATACCTTCTCCTTTCCCTACTATCGCAAGTCTGAGCTACCATGATAAAATACCAGTAAAGCATGAGACTGGTATTCATACATATTTTTATTCCAAGTCTCTCTGAGCCCATAAACCCACTAATAGCAGCAAATGCTCCTCTTTGTCTTTTTCTTAAGGCACTTGAGCAGAAAATCAGAAAGGATTCTCCACGTCTGTTTCCATTGTTATTGATAGCTAAAAACTTCTAAAAAATGTATAAAAGACTATGTGCTTGCTTCAGGGATTTATTCATTCATTCAACAAATATCTGCTGGATGTCTACTACATGCTAGGCACAGTTCTGGATCCTGAGGATTCAAGACTAAGTTCTGCTCGTCTAGTAGAATATGAAAGGAAGGGAAAGCTCTGGGACTGTGCTATTTCATGGTGAGGTACACAAGAGAGAACTCCCAACCAGAATCAGTATGTAGCAACATGGAAAGCAAGCAGGCAGCATTCAAGTGTTAAGGCCAGCTTAATAAATGAAACACGATGGGGGCATTAGATTAGGATGAACCCAGAGGTTGATGTAAGATGCTGTAAGTACAGAACTACTCGTTAGTGTATTTTGGAAGAATGCTGGGCCATTCCCCATCAAGCGGGCCATAGGGGAATGGCCCAGCATTCTTCCAAATTATTGTAACAAGAGGAGTTACATACTCAGAATATCTTACATCAACCTCTGGGTTCATCCTAATCTAAAGCTCCCATTCTATGTCATTTATTAAGCTGACCATGTCACAGAATAGCAGACTTGGGGGGATTTATGTTCTCACCGCTTTGCAGGTAGAAATGATGGTGGAGGGACTAAGCAGGAAATATTCCTGATTCCATGTTAACAGAGTTGGGGGGGTGGGTAGAAGATATATTCCCATAAACCCAAGCTAAACTTGAGAATTATTTTTCTTACTGCAAGACTGAGCATACAGTGTGGATGCTTCATAGAACATCAGGGCTAAAATAGAACTAAGAGATCCTCTGTTTGAACCTCTTAATTTTTCAGAGCAAACTGAGGCCCAGAAAGGGTTAATTGACAGTTACAGATCCTAAATACATTATTGGTCACGAAGGTTATATTTAACAGTATCAACAGTACATTTATGTACATTAGAGTTTCACAGGCATTTGTGGTCTGCCCTAGGGACTGAAATATCAATAATAAAATCTTTTCTATACAAAAATATACTGAGTTTGGAATATGCAAAATACATACAGGCCTTTGGAACACAGCTTCTAAGTTAGGACCTGCCTAGAACTAAAGTTTTTCATAAACATGAATTGAAAAGCTACCATTAAATGAATGGGCCTGAATTAAAATTACTTCCTCTATGTGTGCCTTAAAAATACTTTCCTACTGGAACAGTTCTGAACTGCTATTAAACTGAAACATGCTAGACCTAAACCCTGTTGGAACTGAGATGTTGTGACCCTGTGAATAATGCCATCTTATGCAAAAGCACAATAATGAAAGATTAGTTGGGCCTATTAAGTTTCAAGAAAAAGTAAGACTTGAAAACAAAATAATATTTCTTTCTATAACAGAAAGCAGCTATCTGAATGGGCAGGAGGCTCAAATGCTGATAAGAAAGTACCACCAGGAGCACTCACAGTACCTGTGTTGCAAGTATCCTTCATCAGTCGGCACCGATCTTTGACCGAAGACGCACTTCTTCCTAGCGCCGCCCCTATTGTTGCCCAGTCATTGCCATGCTTTATCCGGAGCCTAAAACAAGAGTCTGCCAATCAGCATTTGGTTCAACTGTTTTCTCCCTTCTAATTTCATCATTTATTCTTCATTCTTCTTCTTCCCATTTGACTGGTTTGGAAGTTGTGGGCAGCAATACTTTGAGAGCCAAAGTTTGAAAGTGTGGCCTTTTTTGGGGTCCACAGTTGTCTGTGGGTGAAAAAAAACAGGCAGCAATTGCCTTTTTCCTGGGTCAGAGAAGAAATAAATAACTTGGATATGTGTTCAAAAAAGACCATATTTCCCCTCAGGTTAATGACACAATCTCCCAGGCAAGCCCCTGATTTTTCCCTTTTGAGCGCGCTAACCAGCTTTTCTTCAGACATCTGAACAAGTTTCACAGGTCCTTATCATAATAAACAAGATCTACCTTCAATTTTTTTCATGATCCACACAATCCATTAAACCATGCTTTATGGACCTAACTCAATGAAGCAGAACTGTATCTCCCGAGATTCAACAGCCTTTACAAGGAGATAAGTCAGCCCAGATATTCAGTGAAACATTTGCTAAGTCACCATTCTAAATGACACCATGTAGCATAGCCCTGGCTCTAGTCCTGGTACATGTTTCCCCAGTTTAGCCTTCAGGCCACCAAAAATGACCACTTAATCTCTTCTGGAACCCATTTTAAAGGTCTGAGGAAGAATATAGTAACTGACAAATAGGAGGAGATTAAACTTATGTATTAGGGATGGCTATTCTGTGCAGGTATGGATCCAATAAGCTCCTTTTATGACAGACAGTCAATTATGCCTAATAAATAGTAGGATTAAATTACACCAGTCCATCAGAAATCTCTTGAAATTTTCAAAGTAAAACTTAAAAAAAAAATATCCAGAATTAATGAAAAAATTTAAAACTTACTCCTTGAGCTTTTCAATTTCTTCAGGTGTATACCTAGAAATTTAGAGAAATTTTCAAAAAGACAAATTAGAATAAGGAATGCTAAAAATTTTAATAAAAATCAATATTTCACTTACAAAGCCAAAAGTCACTCAGCAAATTGATATTTTTAAAGTAGCCAATATAATTTTAAAATGGATTAATAAAAATTAAAAATCAAAGCTTCTATTTAAAAAAAAAAATACAACAGCAAATAGATTTAGTCATTGTAAAGGTAAGCACTATACAATTTTCTCTACGAAAATTCAACATTTAAAACAAATGTATTTGCTTTTGTGCTGCCTAACTCTTCCTTCTTTCAAAATGAGGTTAGGGTACTTTAAAATCATAGGTATCATAACAGAGCTAAAAAGAAAATTTCCTATGGTAAATTCTCTCAAAGCACTGAAAAAATTAAAATTCCCATCACTTTCTTTACCATACTACCATGGGCATCTGACAAACTGTCGCTCTAGCTTACAGACCCTTTCTTCAGTGAGCAAGTACTCAACACAGCCAATGAAACATTCTTTTTAAGAATGCACATTTAATAATTTTGAAAGGCTGCTTCACTTTGTAACCATTTGTGCTGCATGTAAGTCTTATGAAAAGTCAGCAAGTCATTCACGCTCCACTTTGTCCTTCATTCCTCTTTTTCCAATGCTATAAAAACATAATTTAATTCCCTTCAGACTTTAAATGTGCACTCGTTAGCAGGCTGATGAAGCTACAGGAAAAGCAGCACCAGTAACTTGACAATATCTACTCAGCCATACTACTCCAACTAAAATTCGTGAAGAGGAATTAAGAATATTAAGTAACGCCACATAATGCATTGCAAAATCTTAATGATGCCTTTCCATAAATGGTACCTATAATGGAATTTCATGCATTGTTTCCAGAGATGTACTTATTTTCCACTCTGATTTTATTAAGGAAAAAAAAATCACTGATCCAAGAAATGCTTTACTATAAAATGAAAAGGAAATGTTACAATAAACTTAGCAATTTAGCATTCTTTTCACACTTCCTAAATCTTAAGCACTACTATACTTTTTATAATGTTACTTTACGACAAAGCAGACCATGACATCTTAAATAAACTAGGTCTTAAACCTAACCAATATAAGGAAGTTTAGATTCTAAATTCTAAAAGAGGCCTTAGTATACTGAGGTTACACCAGATTCATAACATGGACCTGGAGGATAAGATAAAAATATGAACTCAACAGTAATTCATAGCTGACTCTAAGGCTTTGATCACAACTCTATTAAAAACAATTTGACAGTTCCATAAAAATTTCCCCTAATTCCATGAAAACATGCAGCATTACGAGTTTTCATACTTTCCCACATGGTTTCTGTCATCATACATGCGAAGCACTCTTCTATAAACTGCAAACAAAGGCCGGTTCAGACCCCATGCTATAGTCCTGTAGAAATCTTTTCTTTCGTCTTTTGACATCTCAAAGATGATTTCTGTAGCATCTTTTATTCCACGTGCCTAAATGGATTACATTTCTTTGATTTAGGGATTTCTGATAAAATGCATATGGATATATAGTGTACTTTTAAAGTTCTTTTTTTAAAAAATTATAACATCAATGGCATTAAGAAAAATAATATATTTCTAATTCATTAATAAAAGTCAAATATAAACTTTAAAATGTTGCAAGAGGTAATTACAGTGATACTTAAATGTTCCCCAAAAAACTGTATCAAATTCAATAAATTAACGTTCTGTCCACTCTTTTTAAAATTATAAAAAATTAAAAAATAAACCTAATGAAAGTAAAAGAAAGAAAACCGTAAGAACAAATTAATGGAATCAGTAATCAAATAGAAAGGATATTTGAAGTCAAAAGTTGGTTCTCTGAAAAGATCCATTAAGACTAATAAAAATTAGAAATGAAAAGTGATATGCATAACTAGAGATGCTGCAGAGATTAAATAGTAAAAGAATATTATGAATAATTTTATGGCATTAAATTTGAAAACTTAGATAAAATGAATAAATTCCTAGAAAAAGTCAACTTACCAAAGCTGACTCAGGAAAAGGAGAGAAAATCTAACAGGCACAGACCATTAAGAAAATGTTATCAGTCAATCTTTTTATAGAGAAAACACGAGGTCCAGATGACTTTACAGGTAAGTCCTGCTAAACAGTCCAGAGACATCTAATTCTGACTGTAAACTATTCTAGGAGTAAAGAACAAGTAGGGACACTTTCCCACTCATTGTATCAGGCTAGCATAAGCTCAACAGCAAAACTAGACGAGGGCAGTTTCAGAAAGCAATTTTTAGGCCAAGCTCATTTATTCACATAAATCTGAAAGTCCTAAAAATATTTTAGCACATTAAGCCCAGCAATATATAAAAAAGTTAATAGATTACTGCAAAAAGTGAGCTTATCCCAGGAATACAAATTTGTGTTAATTTCAGAAAAAAGATTAATGTAATTAATCACATAAGTATGTTTACAAAAAAAATTGTAAAATCTCAACAGATGTAGAAAAAGTAGTCGTAAAATTCAACATTCATGCATGATAAGACTCTTAGCAAATCAGGAGAAGAGGAAGAAGCTACCTTAACCTGATAAAAGAAAAATGTATGAAAAGTATAAAGATGGGAAAAGAAGAATCATTTGCAGATGATACAATACAGAAAACTCAAACATCTATGAAAAAATTATTTGATTTAAAAAGGACCATTTAGCAAGGTTGCTGGATACAAAATCAATATATAAAAGTCATCCACATTTCTATATAAAACTCATACAATGTAATTTTAAAGAGTTATCATTTACAATACCATCAAAATTAGAAGAATTAGAAACAAGTCTCAGGCAAGTTATACACGTATTTTATGGAAAAAAGTATAAAATTTTATCAAAAGATAAAAAGAAGAAGCTAACTAAAATGGAGAACTGTATACCATGTTCTTCAATAGAAATATAGTAAAGGTGTTAGTTCTCCCCAAATTCATGTACAGATTCAGTGCAATCTCAATCAAAATCCCAACAGGGATTTTATTCTCTGCAAGTGAATTCTGAATTTATCACAGAAGAGAAAGGGCCAAGAAAAGCCAGGACATTCATGAAGATGATGTGCCCCCCATCAGATACTGGGACTTCTGAAGACACCGCTATGCTGGTCCAGGGTTCAAGGAATAAAACCTGGGAACAAATTATAAAGTCTAGGAACAAATCTGTGGAAGCTGGATTTAGAACAGAATGGATACTGTTGATTGGAAGAAAAAAATTACATTCCATAAATAATGCTGGGACAACTGTTATCCACACAGAAAAAGAAACAATTTAAACCACCTCTCACACCCTACAGGGGGAAAAAATACCAGTGTGAAAGGCAAAATTATAAAACTTTCATTAAGATACTATCTTCACAAAATATAAGAGAATATCCTATGCTCTTAGTGCAAGGGAGAATTTCTTAATTGTGCAAAACATAAAATTAAGAATCTTTGTTTATCAAACAAAACCTAAAGAGAAGAAAAAGACAGGCCACTGAACTGGGAAAAGACGTGTAGCAAGTAACTGCTAAACTGCATACATTAAGAAGGTCCATAAATTTTTAAGAAAAAGACAAAAAGCTCCAAAGAAAAACTGACAAATGACACAAACAGGAATTTCAAACAGAAAATACAAATGGTCAATAAACATATAAAAACATATAATCAGAAATATAAATTAAAACCATAATGAGATATCACTGCACATCCACCAGATTTGTACAAATTAATAGCAAAAAACTAAAAAGAACCAAGATGACTATTAACTATGGAATGGATAACTTGTGGTATATCTGTACAATGAAATACAGCTAAACAAATCAACAGGAGATGGATCTCAAAATCATAATGTTGAGCAAAAGAAGTTACAGAAAAACTCAGAATTAACTAATTTATATAAATTTAAAAAACAGGTGAAATTACATTGGCATACATTTTATACACTCTTTTGAACATATGAAAGTCACTGTATAAAGTTTTAGAATCTTTTCTAAAGTTATTTAGTTTATAAGCAGTTTCAATTCTGCAAATGATCAAACCTAAATATTTACTGAGCACCTTTACGCAAGACAGCTTGTTGCAAGGTGACTTTTTTTTTTTTGGCTTGTGACAGTTACTTCCATTTACCCTTTTACCCAAAATACGGAATATATGATGTTTAAATAACTGAAGCTTTCTAAAGTTTAAAAATGGCTCTAAGACGTTTTTAGAAGAGCACCATATCATAAAAACCATGGTCAAAACTCAAAATCAAACAAATAATCTTTTTCCAAGATCAGTGCATCTTTTGGACATTTCCTATTTTTGCCAATCCTATCATCATTCAACCAATCACTCAAAATAAAAATTCTTGTTATTCCAACTCTTCCTTTTCTTTCTTCCCCAACATCCAGTCACCAGGCTTCCTTACAAACTACTTGCTTATCTGTCCCTTCCCTGCCAATTCTGTTTCCATCACTGTAGTGTAAGTCCTTACCACCTCTCACCTGGTCCACTGAAATGGTCATCTAAAAGGTCTTGAATTCTAGTCATGTTCCTGCCCTTTAATCATAAAGTTGGAAGGATCCTTGGAGATCATCTACTCCAACCCCCTAGACAAGAAACCAGCTTCTTAATTCTCAAGAACAGTATTCTTAACACTTGATAATGCCTTATCTAAACCCATAGCATTTTTACAGTTTTACTTAAAGTATGTGACAATGGATAGAATTCTGAATAAATTTTCAATGGCCACTGAATTTCTGTTTCTCTTAAAACAATGAACTTGATGAGAAGAATCTTTATTCATTAACAAAGAAAGTTTTTAACCCTTCATAGTTTACAAAGCCCAGCTTGGAAAGGGTGCAGTTTAAAATTAAGCTTAAGAATGTGGACTTGGCAGCAGTATATTTGCAATAGTGAGGAACTGGAAACAATGTAAATACCAAACAACAGGAGAACGGTTAAATAAATACTGTACTCCCCGACTACATTTCAAACATGTACTATTTGAATCTGACTCCATTAAAGAGACTGACAGGGCTTTTCAAGTCTATTAAGATTATAGATTCTGAAAGGCTATTAAGGTTTTGTCTAAACTTCAGAGTGGTAAACTAAAGCAATAAAGCTATTTTAGACTGAGAATGCAAAATCTGTTTTAAAATATTACTAAATTATAACCATATAACTTAGAATTATTAAGCTACAACATATTAACCAATGTACCATTGCAAAAGAAAAACTCCCAGTAATAAGTATATACAATATGCTGTTTTGGTATTTTTGCAACTGGCAGTGAACAAATCAGTGAAATACAAAAATATGCCATAAAATACCTTCAAATAGCGTTCAATATTGCTCATCAAAATATCAATTTCTTCCTTGGACCACATCCCCTGCTTCCATTTATGTCCTTTAAGAGAAGACAACGTTATAGAAACTGTTATTCCTTAACAGGAATAAAACACTAAAGATTTGCTTTGTGATTGAATTATCTGTAAGAATAAAACGTAACTAATTTCTCATTCATCTGAAATCTGAAAGCTCCCGAGGTAAACTCACTTTGTAACCTCTGATTTTTAAGTAAAACTACATTTGACCCTACTAAATAAAGATATGGTAATTAAAGGATTAAAAACATATTACTTCCTCTCTTATCCTTTCAACAGTATACCCCAAAAAACCCCTATGCTGTCGAGTTGACTCCGGCTCATAGCGACCCTATAGGACAGAGTAGAACTGCCTCATAGGGTTTCCAAGGAGCGCCTGGTGGATTCGAACTGCTGACCTTTTGTTTAGCAGCTGTAACTCTTAACCACTACACCACCAGGGTTTCCTTCAAAGTACAGCACTGCTAAAAAGAGACTTAAACATTTTCCCCATAAAAAAATAAGTTTTATGGGCAAAGGAAATATACAAAAGAGATTCTAGAGCAAGCTAAACATATCAGACATCAAGTGAATAATATATTCTTAAGAGCATTCTACTGGACAGTAGTTGAAAAGATTCAATGTACTTATGTTTTATTTCCTTACTTCAGAGTGGCATGAATACAAATTCCCACTTTTCTCACAACAGCTTCTACAGCAATCCATTCACACTATACTACTTTAGGCCTCTGTTTATCACAACCAAAGATAGCTGACCCCTGAAAAGTGTCCAAAGGCTTGCCTTCCTGCTCCCATAAGTAGCAACTATATTGTTTTTTATTTGTCGAACTGTGGCGGCTTGCATGTCACTGTGATGCTGGAAGCTATGTCACCAGCATTTCAAAAACCAGCAGGGTCACCCATGGCAGACAGGTTTCAGCAGAGCTTCCAGACTAAGACACACTAGGAAGAAAGATCTGGCAATCTACTTCTGAAAAAACTGGCCAGTGAAAACCTCATGAATAGCTGCAGAATGTTGTCTGATAGCATGCTGGAAGATGAGCCCCTCAGGTTAGAAGGCACTCAAAATACAACTGAGGATGAGCTGCCTCCTCAAAGTAGAGTCAACCTTAATAACCTGGATGGAGTAAAGCTTTCGAGACCTTCATTTGCTGAGGTGGCACAGCTCAAAATGAGAAGAACAGCTACAAACATCTATTAATAATCAGAACATGGAATGTACTAAGTATTAACCTAGGAAAACTGAAAGTCGTTAAAAGTGAGATGGAACACATAAAGATCGATATGCTAGGCATTAGTAAGCGGAAATGGACTGTTATTGGCCATTTTGAATCAGATAATCATATGGTCTACTATGTCGGGAATGAGAAATTGAAGAGGAATGGCGTCATATTCATCATCATCAAAAAAAATTTCAAGATCTATCCTGAAGTACAACACTGCCAGTGATAGGATAACATCCATACGCCTGCAAGAAAGACCAGTCAATACGACTATTATTCAAATTACACACCAACCACTAATGCCAAAGGTGAAGAAAGTCAAGATTTTAACCAACTTCTGCAGTCTGAAATTGATAAAACATGGAATCAAGATGCACTGATAATTACTGGGGACTGGAACACAGAAGTTGCAAACAAGAAGGATCAGTAGTGGGAAAATATGGCCTTGGTGATAGAAACGAAGTCAGAGATCACAGGACAGAATTTTGCAAGATCAGCAACTTATTCATTGCAAATACCATTTTTCAACAACATAAACGGTGACTATACACATGGACCTCACTGGACAGAATACGAAGGAATCCAATCAACTACAACTGTGGAAGGAGATGATGGAGATGCTCAATATCATCAGTCAGAACAACACCAGGCGCTGACCAAGGAACAGACCATCAATTGCTCCTATCCAAATTCAAGCTGAAGCTGAAGAAAATTTAAAAAAGCCCATAAGAGCCAAAGTATGACCTTGAGTATATCCCACTTGAATTTAGAGACCATCTCAGGAACAGAGTTGACACACTGAACACTAATGACTGAAGACCAGACAAGTTGTGGGATGACATCAAGGACATCATGCATGAAGACAGCAAAAGGTCATTAAAAAGACAGAAAAGACCAAAATGGAAATCAGAACAGACTCTAAAACTTGCTCTTGAATGCCGCTAGAGTAGCTAAAGCAAATGGAAAAAATGATCATGTAAAAGAGCTGAAAAGATTTCAAAGCGTGGCTTGAGAAGACAAAGTAAAGTATTATAATGAAATGTGAAAGACCTGGAGTTAGAAAACCAAAAAGGAAGAATACACAGCATTTCTTAAGCTGAAAGAAAATTGAAGAAAAAATTCAAGCCTTGAGTTGCAATACTGAAGGATTCTATGGGCAAAATATTGAACAACACAGGAAGCATTAAAAGATGTAAGGAATACACACGGTCACTGTACCAAAAAGAATTGGCAGATGTTCAACCGTTTCAGGAGGGAGCACATGATCAAGAACTGATGGTACTTAAGGAAGATGTCCAAGCTGTACTGAAGAACTGGAGAAAAACAAGGCTCTAGGAACTGACAGAATACCAGCTGAGATGTTTCAACAAATGGCTGCAATGCAGAAGTGCTCACTCATCTATGCCAAGAAATCTGGAAAACAGTTACCTGGCATACTGACTGGAAGAGATCTGTATTTGTGCTCATTCCAAAGAAAGGTGATGCAACAGAATGCGGAAATTACCGAACGATATCATTAATATCATACACCAGTAAAGTTCTGCTGATCATAGTTCAAAAACGGTTGCACGGTACACTGACAGGTAACTCCCAGAAATTCAGCCGGATTCAGAAGACGACATCACTGCTGATGTCAGATGGATCTAGGCTAAAAGCAGACAATACCAGAAAGATGTTTACCTGTGTTTTATTGACTATGTAAAGGCATTTGACTGTGTGCATTGTAACAAATTATGGATTTAACACTGTGAAGAACGGGAATTCCAGAACACTTAATTGTGTTCATGAGCAACCTGTACACAGAACAAGAGGCAGTTGTTTGACCAGAACAGGGAGATACGAGCGGTTTAAAATCAGGAAAGGTGTGCAACAAACTTGTATCCTTTCACCATACTTATTCAATGTGTATGCTGAGCAAATAATCCAAGAAGCTGGACTACTTGGAGCCAGACTATCTGGACTATGGAGGAAGACTCGTGAACCTGAGATATGCAGATGACACAACTTTGCTTGCTCAAAGCGAAGAGGACTTGAAGCACTTACTGATGAAGATCAAAGGCTACAGCCTTCAGTATGGATTAAGCTTCGACATAAAGAAAACAAAAATCTTCACAATTGACAACTGGATCAATAAGTAACATCACGAAAAACAAAGAAAATACTGAAGTTGTCGTGGATTTCATTTTATTTGGATCCACAGTCAATTCCCATGGAAGAAGCAGTTGAGAAATGAAATGACATACAGCATTTGGCAAATCTGCTGCAAGAGACCTCTTTAAAGTGTTAAAAAGCAAAGATGTCACGTTAAGGACTAAGGTGTGCCTGACCCAAGACATGGTACTTTCGATCGCCTTATATTCATGGGAAAGCTGGACAAATGAAAAAGGAAGACAGAAGAGGAACTGAAACATTTGAATTATGGTGTTAGCAAATAATATTGAATACACCTTGGACTGCCAGAAGAATGAACAAGTCTGTCTCAGAAGAAGTACAGCTTGAATGCTCCTTAGAAGCAAGGATAGCGAGTCTCACGTTATTCTGGACATGTCATCAGGAGGGACTATTTAAAAGTTGACACATTAACCAGACAAAATCTACTTTACAGAAGAAAAACAATAGTTACTGTAAACCAAATGTTGGTTTCATGGTCTCATTCACAGCTAAATTTAATTCAATATAGAAAAGCTCAAAGACTACTCAATCACAAGGATGAGGGTCCAAATCAGAATCCTGACAACTACAAATCCTTTCTATCCGCATTATATTCTCACACTAAAATTCACAGTATACTATACCTTTGTTAGTGAGAGAATCTTTATCTTCTTTAGTTGTAAACCATGCTTGGCTAACTGCTGAAACTTCTTCATTACCCAAGGGAGATATTTCATCTAGTTGCTCATTCTGTAGAATCTTGGAAAGGTAAAAGTATATAATACCAGCTTGACTGAATACTCAAACCTGATTATTTTTTGTTTGTAATGCTAAGCACTGTTAACACTATAATACAGTAATATGGAATTCAATTTTTATAATCAAAATACATTCAACATACAGAGACAAATATTTTATTGCTGTTAATATTATGACAGTATAAAAAAATTATGTGCATAAAAAAATATGATCTTCATTTAAGCAAGTAATTTTGTACTGGTGGCTTCAATTTTACAGAATATTGGCTTAAAAATTTCATTAAGTATTTAAATCAATATAGGAAATCCAAAACCATTTGTATATGTATATGTAAAACAAGCTCACACAATTGTAATCAGTTCCAGGTAAGATAACGGAAATGCTAGGGTTCAGTGTTATGACTGGCTAATATCCTCAAAGGTAGTTTGCTGTCTAAATTATGTATAGTCATCTGTAATGTAATCCCTTGGTAAACTAAAAGAAGTAACAGGCTAAACCAGAAGACATTACTGTGTAGAAAATCACGGTCCGCTTATTGTTTACTGGATTTGTTTTCGCCTGCCCTCTGGAGTTGATTCCTAGTCTTATGAAGGTATCTTCCTCTAAAAGAACTTCATGATACTTATGTTACTGTTGCAGCTAAAAATAGTCTTTATTGACATAAAATTCACATGCCAAAAAATTCACCCTTTCAAAGTACAATTTAGTGGTTTTTAGTATAGTCACATTTGTGCGAACATCAGCTGGTATATAATATTTTCAGTTACGGACATACCTCATCTAATAAATTGTATAGGAACAAAACTTCTTTTAATGAAGTTAGTCTTAGCCTAAAGAGAGCTACAGTAAGAAAAAAAGACATGGCAACAGTGCTACTATCTCAGGTATGAGCCTGGATAAGGGAACAGCCGTATGCCTACTGACCATTCACCCCAGTCCAGCCTCAGACTGGATAAACTACTAAGTTGTATTACTGGCTGGAGGTAAGTCCTAAGAAAGACTGGACTACTTCTTGAATAAGCAGAAATCGAAACTGGAATTGAAACCCATCTCACTTTTGACAGCCAAAGCACAATGAGAAGAACCATATTTTTATTGTCATCTATTTTTATATCTGTGGTAATACAGTTGGTATCTCAAATACAAGTTTTTTTTAAATCCATGAGTAAAAAGCTAGAAATCACTGCCAACAAGTCTGAAAAGTTTTATAACCTTACATTTATATTTTTTAGACTTTTTTTAAGGTCAAGAAGCCTTTAGAAACCTGAGAATTGAGACACTAGATGATGTCTATGACTCCTTATATTCTGAAGATCACAATTCGTTAAGATTTGAAGTCCTAAGAGATCTACTTGAAAATCATTTGAGTTTTGAGCTATTATAAATCAGTAAAGGGTAACAGACAGCTATTGAAAACCTTGATACATACTGTTATGGATTGAACGGGGTCCTCCAAAAATATGTGTTGTAAATCCTAACCTCTGTGTCTGTGGTTATAATCCCACCTGAGAATGGGTTGTCTTTGTTATGTTAATGAGGCAGTATAGCGTATCTTATATTAACCTCTTTTCAGATATAAAAGAGCAGACTGAGCAAGCAAGCACAAATGGAGGGGAAGATACAGGACACTTGATCACCAAGGAACCTAGGAATAGAAGCTGAAAAGAGATGAAGACCTTCTTCCAGAGCGGACAGAGAGAGAAAGCCTTCCCCTAGAGCAGGTGCACTGAATTCAGGCTTCTAACTTCCTAAACTTTGAGATAATAAATTTCTGTTTGTTAAAGCCACCCACCTGTGGTATTTCTGTTACAGCAGTATTAGATAACTGAGACACATACAATACCCACTTTTAAGAACTGTGATGTAGAAAATGTTCTCCTTAGATGATCTGCTCTAAAATGAATCAGTTGATTAAGAGAATTAAATTGCAATTTCTAAAGTGAATCTAAATATAGCAAAGTCCACTCTACGAATCTTAGAAATGAGTCTGTCATGCTGATTAACTGCTATCTTTGGGCAAACAATGCCTTATGACTCAAATTTTCCTGATGGAGAGTTATCATGATTGCTTAAGTCACAGAAAATGAAACATGTAAATAATCATCAAATGAAATATTCAATGCTGTCAATAAAAGATGTGTTTAATGAGTATAGCAGATTTAGGTACCTTAGAGTACCTATTTATACTTAGAATAGAAATATTAATTAAGGTTTACAATATTTTACCCTCATCATTAACTCCTGTCTTAGTTATTTAGTGCTGCTATAGCAGAAATACCACAACTGGATGGCTTTAATGAACAGAAATTTAGTCTCTCACAGTTCAGGAGAGTAGAAGTCTGAATTCAGTGTACCACCTCTAGGGGAAGCCTTTCTCTCTCTCAGCTCTGGGGGAAGGCCCTTGTTTCCTTTCAACATCTCTGGGACCTACATTCCTTCTTTCTTGATGGTAATGAGGTCCTTCCCTCTCTGCTTTCATCTCTTATAGGGCAGTGACTCAAGATACATCCCACCCTAATCTTGCCTCTTTAACATAACAAACATAACCTAATCCTTATTAACATGACCTAATCTTGTCTCATTAACTAAGGAACAGCTCACTCTCAAATGGGACCATAACCACAGGCACAGAGGCTAGGATTTACATCACAAAATGGAGGATAATCAGATCACAAAATGGAGGACAACTACCACAATACTGGGAATCATGGTCTACCCAAACTGACACATTTTTGGAGGACACAATTCAATCCACGACAACTCCTGTTATGGACTGAATTGTGTCCCCCACAAAAACAAGTTTGAACTTGGCCATGATTCCAAGTACTGTGTGGTTGCCTACCATTTTGTGATCTAATCTGATTATCCTATGTGTTGTAAATCCTAACCTCTATGATGTTAATGAGGCAGGATTCAATCTACAGGATTAGGTTATATCTTGAGTCAATCTCTTTTGAGATACAAAAGAGAGAACTGAGCAGAGAGGAGAAGGACCTCATTACCAACAAACAAGAAGAGCCAGGAGCAGAGTGAGTCCTTTGGATCCAGGGTCCCTGTGCTGAGAAGCTCCTAGATCAGGGGAAAACAGATGAGAAGGACCTTCCCCCAGAACCAACAGAGAGAAAAAGCCTTCCCCTGGAGCTGGCACCCTAAATTCGGACATATAGCCTCCTAAATTTTGAGAGAATAAACTTCTGCTTGGTAAAGCCGTCCACCTGTGGTATTTGTTACAGCAGCACTAAACAACTAAGACAACTCTTTTGCTCATTAATCTCTTACAGTTACTTACACCTTATTTAGTATGCTGTTGTTTTTTAAATTAAATCTTTGACAGCTGGTTGCAGGGTTTCATGTCTATAATATACACAGGTTTAGAAACCTAAAGACAAATATTCAACCCACAATAAACCTACTGCAACCATAAAGGACTGTACATACTAGGAAATTCTTTTAGGTTCAAATTATTTTTTAAGCTAGTGTCCATCACTGGAAAAAGATGATACATTAACCATTAAATTCTATTAAACAGCTGTAACTGGTATGACATTCAAGGACACAGCAGGAAACAGGCTATTTCTGAACTTTCAACTGAGCTAACTTTCATTCACAACCTAATTTTTATTTTATTAAACAAACATCAGAAATATTAGAAGTTTTTCATTCACTTAAATGGTGGTAATAAACCAAGGGGCTAAATAATAAATAATTCTAACTCATTAACTCTTTGGCAATAACTAAAATAACCCTGTAATTTGTCTTGTAATAAGAACATCATCACTGCTCAATCTTACAAAAATGAGGTTGTAAACCAAATCACACAAATGTATACAGTTTATTTTTACTGTGCTGAAAACTAAAAAGCAGAAGTGAGACTACATAGTCTTTGAATCTAGAATAATTTTGACAAACCCCATTTTGAAAGAAGGATATGTTCTATTGCTTCAGGGGGCCTGGAAAATTAATTCCTTTCCAAATCACCTACTGGAATCCAAGTGGGAGATGATGAGATCTTCAGCCCAGCCCAAAGCTTTCTGAGCCACATCAGAGACTCACTCCTCTGGTTACCCTGTGATTCTGGAATCCCTCTGAAGCTCCTTATTGCAAAATGTCTCCACAGTGCATACACCTGAGATGTCCCTAGTCTTTGATATCATATATCAGCTTGTAACTATTATACTTTATAACCGAAGGGTCACTGTGATTTTTCATGAAATAAATAAATAATGGTACAATGTCTCTATTGTCTACTATTTTATTAAACGAAGAGATGAAGCAAAAAGGACAAGCTACTGAAAAATAAAGACGTAACAGTCAAACATAAATTTATAAATAGAACAGATTTAAGCTTCACGTTATTTAAGAGAGCAAAAATTCTGATTACTTTTGGCAGAAGTAACTTAGCTACTGTTTGAGACAATTATATAAGGTTACATAACAGGAAAACAGCAAGCCCTGACTACTAACCAACTTCTTAACATGCAGTAAAAATGTATCCAGTCATACAAGCACCAAAAGAAACAGTACTACCATAACTACAACTGTTATAATTTAAAATCTATTTGAAATGACTAGCTTTCATTCCTATAAGAACACAGAATGTGTGTAGTAGCCTTTCTGAATCAGTTGCTATAGACTATAACCGTCTGGTAAAATTTACCTTAAGAAGCTTTATCTTCCAACCAATATCATGTATTACTATTACTGGTAAGATAAAACTTAAAGTTACCTAACAGCTCAAGTGAGATCACTACATGTAGACAAGGAACATATGCATCATCTCTTGTTTAACACTACACGGATTGGCTTTTTTAAAAAAAAAATCTACCACTACAGTTCTGACACTGCTATGTATGTGGGTACTAGAAACCTGAACCAAGTAATAAGTCTTACCTTAATTTTTTGTTTTTTTATGTCAGAGGAAACATGTTCTCATCATTATCACCTAATCTTTGTGTGAAAGATTAACCATCCTGTGCTCAATGAAAAGACTTACTATACCTGGATCTGTGTCACAGTTCCTTCAGTAATCTCATCATCTGCCACCTCTGTGGTTGCAGTCATGGTCACCTCAAAGCTCTGATCATTCTCTGAAACTTCAAGAAAAGAAAAAATTCATCTCCAGAATAATGGTAGGTTCTAACTAATCTAAAAACATCTACTGAAAAAAGCGATCATTTCTTAGCACACTCCTTGCCAATACATTCCCACATGTATATTCATTTGTTAAACATATTTATTGTGTACGTATTACATACTAGGCAAGACTTCGGGTACTGGGGATACAGCAGTGAGGAAAAAAAACACAAAACAAAAAGCCTCACTTCATGGAGCTTGTATTCTTTCTAGTGGGGAAGACACAAAATGAACAAGATATGCTATACGGTGATAAGTACTAAGGAGAAAAAATAAAACAGGTAAGGGAATGTGTTGAGAGTAGTGGAGGTTGTATGAAATTTTAGATAGGAGGCCAAGAAAAGTGACCAAGACTTGGAACATAGTGAGGAAGGAACCCAGCCATGCAGGTATCTTGGGGGAAAGCATTTCAAGAAAAATGAAAGCCAAATGCAAAGACTCTGAGATGGGGGGCATGTCTGGCATATTCGTGGAAATGGCAAGGAGGCCAGTATGGCTAGAGCAGACAGAACAAGAACACCAAAGAGATTGTGTGAGGCCTTATAGACCACTGTAAAGACTCTGGCTTTTACTCAGAGAGGGGAAGCCACTGTAAGATTCTGAGTAGAGGACTGATATAATCTGATTTTTAATTTAACAGGACCACTCTGACAGCCAAAGGGAAAACAGACTGAAGAGGGACAAGTGCTGGAGTGGGATCAATTAGGAGGCTAATGCAGTACTCCAGACAAGAGATGGTGACTTGGACTAGGGTGAAGGTTAAGTCAGGGTGGTGAGAAGTAGTTCACATCCTATATATATTCTAGTGATAGAGTAATTGAAGAGTTAAATTTTTTTTTTAATTTGAGCTACTAGAAGGGTGGACGTGCCATTAATGAAATGGGGAAGATTGTTGAAGAAACAAGTTTATGAATTTATAAAGTTTCAGAAGCTCAGTTTTAAACACATTAGCTTGAGATACCTACTGTGGTGAAATGAGTTCCTTTTTGTGGCCCTTTTCCTTGGCTCTCTGGAAAAACCGCTTGAGAGTTTTTTCCCCTAAACCCCAAGGAGTTACCTTTGCCCTAGTTTCCTACCCTAGAAGGTTTGTTACTTTTGTCCAGGTTGACTGACATTTCCTGGGTAAGCTGTGAACAACTTGTGGTTTGATACTTTTTGGCTGGTTCTGGTCTGTAGCTTGCCCTGTGATTGGTACGAACCTTGCAGCGATTGGTCAATAAACTATGTAAATGAGGTGACTACAGCTACTACGCAAATGAAGTGTCTGTGACCTACCAAAAAGGGATTGCTGTTTGTGACTCCCCCACTATGAGGGGCCATGCCTTGAAATTGACAAGGAGATGTGTATATATGCAGTCAGACCCACGTGAGTTTTTCAGACAGTAAGAAGCAGAAAAAGCAGCAAGAGAGAAGGAAGAGGAGAGAAGAAAGAGGAGAGAAGAAGCAGAGAGAGGAGGCAAGGAATCTCCTAATAGAGCTGTAACACGGGTCAAGAGTTGTAACACCGAAGACAGTAAGAGGCCCAGAAGGGATCCAGCAGCAGAGATGGTGGCAACAAGCCTAGAAGGGGCTCTTTGGCAGAGTCAATACTGACAGATTGCAGGGCCAAGAGAAGCCTGTCCTGGGGAGCCAAGAGGAGGGCTGAATGGCCAAGAAAAGCTGACAGCACTGTCTTGCACTGAAAAAGGGAGACTTTACCTACATGCTTCACAATCCTGACTTGTAGCCTGTTACTTCCTTAATAACTCACGTAACAGTAAGCAGAGTTCATGAGTTCTGTGTGACCACTGCAATGGATTATCAAACCCAGAAGAGGTGGACAAAGTGCTGTGCGGAGAGACGGCTGATGTCAGAACTGCTAAAAATGATTGGAGAGTGGAGGTATATCTGACCTCCACCACATACAGATCAAACTTGTTAGAAAGGTTCTGACACTATTACTACTATTCGAATTTTATACCTACTAAACATCTAGAGAAGCCTGGGCTGGAATAAATCTGAGAATCATCATATAGAGATAGTATTTAAAACCATGAATTGAGCTCAACTGAATAAAAGCAGGAAAAAACAGTCTAAGGACTGAGGTCTAGGGCACTTCACATTTAGATGTTGAAGAGATGAAGACAAGTTGGTAAGAGGCTGACAAAGAATGGAAAAAAAAAAAGGCAGGAAGAAAACCAGAGGAATTTGTTTCCTGGAATCCAAGTTGGGAAAAAAAAATTTTCAGGGAGGAGTGATAAACATTGTCATAAGTCTTGGATAATAATACCCACCCTAGAGCATGCTTTCTCAAGGATAAATATCCCCTTACTGACTGATCAAGTAATACAAAAACTAAAAAATGACTATTGGGTTTAGCAACAAGAAAGTCTCTAAAGACCTGGGAAGAACAGTTTTGGTGAAGTGACAGGAGTAAAAGCCTGACTGGGTGGGTTTAAGAAAGAATGGGGAGAAGAAGAAATGAAAACAAGTACAGGCAATTCTTTCAAAGTATTCTGCTCTAAAAGGAAGGAGAGAAATTGGATGAGATAGTGGGCTAAAGTGACTTTTCATTCAAAAAAAGAAATAACAGGACGTTTGTAATACTGATAGGAATAGATCCAGCAGAGAATGAAAAAACGATGATTCATAAGAGGGGGAAAAATCTGCTGGAGCAATTAATTGAACAGAAAAAGGGGATGGGATTTAGTTAACAGAAGGGCTGCCCTTAGCTATGAGAAACACAGATGCAGGTGGATGGGTATTTATGGGGAGAACCTGCAGAAATTATATTCTGGTTACTTTGATTTTCCCAGTAAAGTAGGAAGCAAGGTTAGCAGTTCAGAATAAGAATGGTGGAGGAAATAGAAATACCAGACGATCCGGCAATCCCACTCCTAGGAATATATCCTAGAGAAATAAGAATCATCACTCGAATAGACATATGCACACCCATGTTCATGGCAGCACTGTTCACAATATGAAAAACATGGAAACAACCTAGATGCCCATCAACCGATGAATGGATAAACAAACTATGGTACATACACACAACAGAATACTATGCAATACTAAAGAACAACGAATCTGTGAAGCATCTCACAACGTGGATGAAACTGGAGGACATTATGCTGAGTGAAATAAGTCAATCACAAAAGGACAAATATTGTATGAGACCTCTATTGTAAAAACTCATGAAAAAGCTTCCACACAAAAAGTAACAATCTTTGTTGGTTACCAGGGATGGGAGGGGTGGGGGGGGAAATACTAAATAGGCAATAAATAAATGGTATCTTTGGTGAAGGGTGAGAGTACACAATACTGGGAAAACCAGCACAACTTGTACAAGGAAAGGTCATGGAAGTTCCATAGACACATCCAAACTCCCTCAGGGACTGAACTGCTGGGCAAAGGGCTGTGGGGACCATGGTCTCAGGGAACATCTAGCTCAACTGGCATAACACAGTTTATAAAGACAATGTTCTATATTCTACCTTGGTGAGTAGCGTCTGGGGTCTTAAAAGTCTGTGAGCAGCCATCTAAGATACTCCACTGGTCTCACCCCTTCGGGAGCAAGGGAGAATGAAGAGAACAGGACACAAGGAAAAGATTAGTCCAAAGGACTAATGGACCACAGCTACCAAGGTCTCCACCAGACTGAGTCCAGTACAGCTGGATGGTGCCTGGCTACCACCACTGACTGCTCTGACTGGGATCACAACAGAGGGTTCTAGACAGAGCTGGAGAAGGATGTAGAACAAAATTCTAACACACACATACAAAAGACCAGATTTACCGGCCTAAAAGAGACTGGAGAAACCCTGAGAGTATGGCCCCCCAGACACGCTTTTAGCTCAGTGGTGAAGTCACTCCCGAGGTTCACCATTCAGCCAGGGAATGGACAGCCCCATAAAACAAAACGGGACTAATGAGGCACAGCAGTCCAGGGACAAGGACTAGAAGGCAGAAAGGGACAGGAAAGCTGATGATAGGGAACCCAACGTTGAGTAAGGATAGTGTTGATGTGCAGTGGGGTTGTTAACCACTGTCATAGTGCAACATGTGTACTAACTGTTAAATGAGAAACTATTTTGTTCTGTAAACCTTCATCTAAAGTGAGAATAGCAGCACAACTGGAAAAGCAGAGTCGATGTCACTGAACTGTGCATGTAGAAATTTTTGAAATGGTGTATCTTTGACTATGTATATTTTCACCCCTCCCCCAGAAAAAAAAGGTCAAAAAGGGAGAGGGTTGACATGTCGTTGTTAACCAATGTCATAAAACAATACGTGTACTGTTTAATGAGAAACTATTTGTTCTGTAAACCTTCAACTGAAGCACAATTAAAAAAAAAAAAAAAGAATGGTAGAGGAGATTTTGAAGGTTTCAAGAGCATTTCAAATTGTCATCCTGGAGTGGGAGAAAAAGCACTAGAAAAGTATGGTGTGACGGAGGGCGGTATTATAAACCCACTTGAACTCACCCACTGCTGTCAAGTCCATTCCAACTTACAGCAACCCTATAGGACAGAGTAGAACTGCCCCACAGGGTTTCCAAGGCTATAAATCTTTACAGAAGCAGACTGCCACATCTTTCTCCCTGGAGAGGCTGGTGGGTTCAAACTGCCAACCTTTCGGTTAGCAGGCTGGCACTTAACCACTGTGCCACCAGGGCTCCTTTATTTCAGTTTAATGGCCATGAATTTAAAATGAGACCAGTCAGTTTGCTTGTCTTATTTTTCTCCAATGCCTTTTAGTTAGCTGTACTAGTATACACATAGATAGACATAACCAGGGCTGTAGTTTCATGAAAGAACAATGAGATTAGAAAAGGAAAAAAAAAAAACTGAGGGTAAATGCAAGACTATGATAACAGTGATTAACCATGAAGCAAACTGGTTAAGGAAGGGAAAAAAGATATAAGGGGAAAAAGAACAATGGAAAAGACGGTTTAAGATCAATGGACTATGTACGTCACAGTGGGGCAAAGGGTCGCAGAACTAAAGAGTACTAGAGGAATTAAGTTGGAATGATAGGAAGTAGTGGTAGAAAAACAGCAAGTATAAAATAGATCACAAATGACTTCAATAACAGGTAATGGCCAAGAGTGGTGATGGGAGTACTAAATGAGTAGTATGGTGAACAAAATGAATAAAAGTTTAAGGTATCAGAAGATTATATAAATGAATACTGTAATCACCAAGAATAATAACTATGAATAGGGGATGGAATAAAAGTGACGACAGATGACTGCAAAAAGAAGGGGTCAGTAAGTGATCTAGACTGATTATTATGAGTTAAGGGTGGGTGCTGAGAGAACTTTTAAGGCCCGCACAGATAAATTATATCAATTTTATAATATGTAAGAATATGTAAGGAAAAAACTCCTAATACTGAATTTAAAGTTAAATCTTACATAACCAACATTCACCTCCATGAAGTTCAATAAATAACAGCTTATTCATTCAATCAGAGTAAGTAAATCAGTCCCAGATGATGATGGCAAATGTAGACTTCAGGCTTTTACACGAGTTTTTTTTTCCCTCCTTAATGCAGAAATGTTTCTAACTGCATTTTATCAATACACTTTTTACAAAGCCAGGGAATGTGTAAATACTTCAAGCCCACCTTTTATAGAGCCTCACTGCTAAACATTAGGCTCTAGAATGTGCTCCATACATCACGATGCTATGCCCCAACATCAAACAGCTCATGTGCTATCCATGTCATCTTACCCAGTGAAGTAAACGAGGAAAATGAAGCATTTAGTCCAACCCCATAAAACAGAACAAAATACCTAGTTTGAATCTACGATCATGACAAAGGTACTACTCTATTTTAACTAAATAAATTAGTCATAATTTACAGCGAAACAATCACTCAAAAATTCCAGCTTATGGGCGGAGGGCTGTGGGGACCATGGTCTCAGGGAACATCTAGCTCAACTGGCATAACACAGTTTATAAAGACAATGTTCTACATTCTACCTCGGTGAGTAGCATCTGGAGTCTTAAAAGCCTGTGAGCAGCCATCTAAGATACTCCACTGGTCTCACCCCTTCGG